GAAGAAGAAGAAGAAGAAGAACAGAACACTTTATTTGCCACTTTTCAGCGTTCACAAGGTTTAATCAAGATTTCCACATCCAAACCCCCTTCCCATTACCTAACGGAAATCCACTCAAAGACTTTTAATCACTTCAGAGCAGGAAACAAGCTGAAGACCTTGTGCTTTAAATTGATTTTTGCATATATTTTGTTTTCAATGTCTGGGAATGAATGGGTGTATGCAAACATGTCAGATGTCCAGTTGTATTTTGTGGATTGCATTTTCTCCCATTTTTAATAATTTGTGCTCTGTTTCCTGCTCTGAAGTGATTAAAAGTCTTTGAGTGGATTTCCGTTAGGTAATGGGAAGGGGGTTTGGATGTGGAAATCTTGATTAAACCTTGTGAACGCTGAAAAGTGGCAAATAAAGTGTTCTGTTCTTCTTCTTCTTCTTCTTCTTCTTATTCTTCTTTCAAAGTACTGTAGTGTACTTTCAGATATTTTCAAGGTCTAAAAATACAAGGGTAAAGCTGAAGTACCCCTTTCTTCCATGCTCCAAAGGTATTCCTTCCAAAATAGCGTAGGTTCCAGGGATTTTCAAGGTCTGAAAATACCTCTGACCCACCCAGCATCAGCTCCATGTCCTTTCGCGACCCCGAAACCCCTCCGCAGACCCAAACCCAGGTCAACCCAGTTTTTCTACCGCGCGTTAATGCATCGGAACCGAATCTTGATTGATTGCCAAGGCATTGCCAAAACAAAACAAAAAAAAACCCTCCCACCCCACAGGAATTCGGGGTATAGCCCTGAAAAATGTCCATTCGCATTCCACGCAGCTCCCGTCCTATATTTTTTCGAGAGTCCTTCATGATTATGGTAGTGTGTGTTCAACACGTCTTCTCCCTTCTTTCTTGTATATATAGATATATATATATTTGGGTAAGTGAAGCGTGAATATATAAGGGCCTCGTAAAAAGGGTCGCATTTTTTTCGTTGTGTTTATCTGCTTGTCTATGCAAAAGAGTATCGGTGTGTTTAGCTGTCCCAGTCAGGAAAAAGGCCCATCAGGAGATTGAGCAGCCAGTAGTATAGGATAAGCCGCCCACGCAGTTTCATCCCCCTGCAACCCTCGACTGTACCCCTGTGGCGAGATGTTGAAAAGCAAGGGAGATGAGGGCATTTCGTCGCAGATCTCTGTGACGCGGGGGTATTTTCTCTTCTCTTTTTTTTGCGGGGAGGGGGGTGGTGGGAAGGGCTTCTTAGTGTAACTCCCATTGGCACTAGAAGAAACCCTGGTTGCACCTTTTGACTATGACAGCGCAGTTGTCCTCATGTCTGTGATGGAGTTGGGATATATTTTTGCAACATTGTGTGCCCAAGAACACAGATACTGTTAATGCTGTGGATACTGTTAAGACACCACAGACAAAGAAAGGAAAGGAGGTATTTGAAAATAAATTGGAAACACCATAGGCCGTTTTTTGGCTGAGGCTTGATGGGCCTCAACGATTGACTTATCTTTCCACAGAAACACAATTACAGAAGTAAAAAAATTGTGTTGGATGATCTAAGCACATTTTGGAGTATGCGCAGCACACAAGAGTTTGTATAGGCAAGTGAGTGTTTGTCGGTTTTGTCATGGGTACATTGGATCCCAGACAAAGGAATTGAATTGTGCAGCCATCAGAATGCAAGTTTTGAATAAGAACTCAAACTCCTTTCAGAGGAGTTCATTCTCATTGCCCAGTTCATCAATTGGCTGTTGAATCAATTGTTTTAATGGCAGAGTCAATGGTTAGCTCAGAATTTTGAATGAGGTAATTTAAAGTTAAAAGGCCCTTTAACACTAGGTTCTGACTTTTCCTCTCAAAGAGGAATGAGGGTTTTTATAGTCAGGTGCTTGGACTGGGTCAGGAAGAAATCAGGTGATTTCTTCCTGGCTCAGGATTGGCCAATTTTAATCAAATCAAAGAAGAGATAACCACTTCTTGTCCTTGAATGAGGCTCAGTGAGTCTTGAAAAAACGGGATTTTTGCAAGGCTCACTGGCCTCAGAAATGTAACAAGTTTTCTGGGCTGGTTTCAGCTGGATGCTGGACCTCCGTTGCTTCAGGTTAAAAAAAAAAAATAGTGAAATGATTTTTGCCGGAGTAGAAAATTTTATATTTATTGTAGCTCGATTTGTTTGTTAGATTGCTCAAAAAGAGAAGCATGATGTGCTCTGGATATATTGGATGTTTTTAGGCCCAACAAATAGATTGAGCTATACATACTGGGGTGTAATATTTAGAACAAAATCTTATATAAATTTGTCCATCGCACATCATCAGACTTAATTGTCAAGAGCCAGTTCTACTCTTTTTCTCTTTACGAGTATTGTATACCAAAAAATAAAAAATTGTGAGAATTTTGATTACCAATGAAAATGATTTAATTGTACCTGAGATGAACCAGAAGGATTGAGCTGCTACGAAATGGAAGTCCACGGCTTGTATCAGTGCGCGAGAGCGCTTCTGTGTTGGTCACATGGGCGGGTTCCGTCAGAGGTTGGGCACCTATAAAAACCCCCGAACCACAACCCCGGGGTCCACATTATTACCCCTGCCTCCGAACTGAGTGATTCTAATCACGAACATATGGCATAATGTTTCCAATTAATCTCACTGGTTGGTGATGTCCGTGATTCCGGACTTGAAAACAACACAATTTTTTTGTTGACAAATGATCAGCACGCATTATTTTTGCAGTCTATTTCCTAAAAGCTTCCAAATACAGGGGAATCTCTCTACAACGATTTTCTCGGAATAACGATTTTTCTCCCGAAAAGGTTCTAAATGCTAAATATAGGGGTTTGTCTCTTCAGCAAAATTTTCCATAAAACGAATTTTTTTTTACTGGCCCCTTGACTTTCGTTGCAGAGAGATTCCACCTGTAATTGATCCTTCATAATTATTTTGTAAATGCGAAAGAGCAGGGGGAAGAAAAGCTAATTGTTTCCTTTTCCTTTCAAATCTTTACAGGAAAAAAGAAAAAAAAATCGACTAAAGCCTCCCAAATTCTAGTCCATAAAAAGAAGAGCTTCCTCTGAACATTCTTTGCTGAAACCGGCAAAAATTCTTGGAATTAAATTCCTGTCACGCAGAAAAAAATAGCAAAAAAAGCAGATATGGGACAGACAAGAGCGCAAGAACTTGGCTGCGTGGTGTTCATCCTGAGCGCCGCCATCTTGGCCATGGCCGCCGCCAGCACCAGCACTGGGAACAATGATGACGTCATTCCTGGTGCAGTGGCACCATCTGACTATTACGACTACTACGATGTTAAGCCAGAGCAAGTGAGTGATTCAAATTTTCAAAATTTTCCAGCATATATTGGTGATTTTTGTTTGTTTGTTTTGCTGTGTATTAGCCATATTTCCTGTGATTGCAACATGTGGAATATCCCATGATTCTATCAATAAGTGACAGAATTAGGACCCTCTGGTATAAAGAACAGGTGGTACCTTGCAATTTAAGGTCCCACAATTTGACCATCCTGTAATTTGACAGTAAAATTTGTTCAGATGTCAACTCATAATTTGACCCCTGCTTGCCTTGCAATTCAACTTGCAGAGAGACTCAAAATGTCAAATTTAATGTCAAAAACATGGAATTTTGCATTGTCTTGAAATGTGACTGTTTTGAAATTTGACCATTCCTAACAACTGATTACAGTGAAATATGCAGGGCACCACCCATATATTCTAGCTGTGTGAAATTTTTGTTCAGTCCCTGATGTCTGAATTTTCAAAGAAGTATATTGTATTACATAGACTTACTTAACTTGAACCCTTACTACTCAAGTCTATATATGACTGGAATTTGTAGAGAACTTTGAAAAATTTGTCTGGGGACCCAGGAAAGAGAAAAGCAATAGAAAAACAAAAAATTTTCAAAAGTAAGTGAGTTCCAGATCATGCAAATTTACCAACATGCTTCCAAAATTCAGTATCCTGTCAACTCATTTGGGAAGGAGCTTCAGGCTCAGAAGATCATCAATTTTACTGCCCTGCTGTGATTTATGTTACATTTTTCCTGGCAAAATGCTGGTTTCCTCAACTCAAAAACTACCTGACATGAATTTTATGAGTCCTGCTTAAAATTCAACTTGAAAAGGTCCAACTGTTGTATGTTCTTTGAAGTATGGCACACACTTCAAGCAGCAAAGAGGCTGTTCATTGAAATGCTGGTCATCATTTTTTATCCTTTTTCCTTTCAGAAAATGAGGTTGGAAACAAAAGGCACAGTAAATGTAGGAAGGATCCCTTGATGATAAATTCTGTTTAAAATATCCATAAAACAGTCCATTAAAATTATTCTGGAAGATTTTTTGATCACAAGTACTGATGCAAATGCTTGCATGCAGAGTTTCAGCTAACTCAACAATTTTTCTTGTAGGGTGCATACAACTTGAGAACTTGTAAATTTCTGAAATTTCAAAACAAAATATAATGAAATGCATATTCTAAAATATTTCTCTTACTGCGTTTCAAAAAACAAAACCAGTGGAATCGACTTTAATTTCGGGGGGAAATCACCGTTCGAAAATAATCCCATTTTCTTCAGATTTTATGTCTCATTATAGTTTTCGTCATTGGCAGTCATCAAGATAGGCAATTTTTTGGTGAATGCTTCTTGAGATTAATTCATTGGAGGTCCCGGATTTTTTCAATGATGGAATCGATAAAAATATTACCAGCAAAAGATATAAATCGTCCTGCCAAGCCCATGTCGGATAATGCCCACTTTCAAACGGGCAAACCGCGATTTCGAAATTTCTATACAGTAGAAGGATTTTAGTTTATCTTCCGTTCAATGCTGTATGCACAATATGAGGGTATTTCTGTGACCAGTCAAATATTTGAGCTCTGAACAATGAGTCAACAGGTGTAACCAGCCCCGCAAAAACCACACCAGCACAGGAACAAGAAAAAAAATTCGCACTGATGATGATACAATAACCATATCAAGTAACCTTCGCCATTCCAGGAGCAAACAAAGGATTGAGATAAGGCTGATGGGAACACAGTTCAGCATGCCAATTAACCTAAATCATTCGGATTTTATTCCGCATGCAAATCTCATTAAAAATAATCTGCTCAAAACACTATAAATGTGGAAATAATTTACCATGCCTGCACTGAGAGCTGCATTTACCCAAGTAACACATTTCGAAAAATATTTGGCACGCACTAAATTTTTAATGAATAATTTGGAGAAAAATGCAGCCACATCGAAAAATTTGCATCCCACTTTTAGACCTGATTAAAATTTGGAGCATACATTGCATAGAAAACTAAATTAAGATAAGCCTAAAGTGAACCTTAAGTGAATTGCTTCTCAATTTTTCCTTGTTTTATATCATCATCTTCCATTTTAAAATGATACTGTCAACCCCCGCACAATGGACTTAAATTGTTCAACAGACTAGTCTGCTGTGTGAAAAAAATACGTATGCTGCAAATTTAATTTTTTTTTTACTTTTTACCATTAATTTTAAACTTACAGAAGTCTGTTATGCGGATTTAGTCCATTGTGCAGAATATAAAGGGAAAACTACCTCCAGAGGTGGTCTGTTGTGCAAAAATCCATTGTGTGGGAGGTCTGTTGTGTGGGGGTTGACTGAAATGAATTCCTCTCTCAAAAAATGGAGAATGAATCGACATTTTCCCAATTGATTCATGCATGAGACATGACGCACAATTTAAATGTCTCAAAATATGTAAATTTGTTTCCCATATCTATAAAGCGAAAGTTAATTTTTTGCTCGTGATTAAAAAAACTGGAGCTTAATCAAATAAAGTAATTTAGAAGATAGGCAATAAAACTTAACGTAAGTTTGAATGTTCAGAGTGCGAATTATCACTGATCCATTCAAAACTCTCATCTGGTGAATTTACAAAATAAATGCGATCTTTTTCACATGCATTCTTTAAAAACAAAATCAAAAGTTTATGAATTGTACAGCATACAGTATTTATTTTCCGGGCTCTGATCAATTTGCGTTGGATTGTTCAGCATATAAATGCTATATACAAACTTTATTTTTAAAAATAGAATAGAAAAAAACTTCTGCAGACCTGCAAAATTTGCATGACCAAAGAAACGTCCAGAAAAATGAACGAAAATGTGTACTTTGCCGCCAATTGCCAAGTTATCCTTTCTGCTGTGTACAAACGAATGCTCTGAAGTTTGCAATATTTACATGCATATTTCTCATCCTTCTCCTCATACAATCATGTCATCGCCTTTATTTTTGCACAGCCGCAAACTTATGCATTCAATATACCAAGACAAACGCAGAAACGCAGCAAGTTTTCGTGGGTTTATCGTAACTAGTACGAAATTAGGATACTTGAGATTGCTGTCCGGGTTTGCATATGCTAATCACAGGTAATTTATGTCAGGGTTCTGTGATTCTGCATGAGTGGTTGACACACAGACATGTTGCCATAATAAGTGCAATTTTTTTATCCGTGCAACAGAAACACGACGCAGTTAGTTTTCAGCACAAGTCAATGAGCAGTTTTGTTGCTTTGCGAATGTGATGATGTGTTTCTGCGAATCTGAGTTTTCAAAATGAGGTTAGATTCCCAAAATGTTTCGAGGATACATTATTTTCTTCGATTAAAATACTTTAAATTTCAATTGAATTTCTTTCATAGTGTGACAACCAAACAAAATTGCATTGATTCAAGAACACACATCTCGTGATTGTTGATCTACATGCTTTTAAAAATCGTAATCCTCCCGAAGTCAGTCGAAGATTTGAAAATTGAATGGAATTTGAAAAATATAACCCATATTTTTTGAGAGGTTGAACAATTGATTTTGCCATTTCGAAATAACTATGCTATTTGAAACAGTATAAGGAAAAAAATATTTTCACGCGGAATCTCATCATAAATATGCTAGTTTTGAATCAATGTCCGTTCAATTAATTTATACTATTGTTTTGGTCATTAATTCCAACAGTGTTCCCTCGTGAAAAAATTCAACATTTTAGAAGCTTGAAAATCTCATAGAGGTAAGCCTGCTGAAGAACGAAGTAATTTTTTTTCGTGACGGAGTATTTTCTATATAGCTGATAATATTTGGCGAAAATTTTATTTTTCAGCGGATAATTTTCAATTTTCCGAAACATGACAATAATTTACTCGACATAAGACAATGATACTTTTATACATCATGGTGCTCTTGAGAATGTTGATACTTCACGCTTTATAATAATCACAACAACGCAATAAAATTTACGAGTGAGCCTCTTCCGAATTGTTGTAGCTATATACACACTATACTGCAGGAAAAAAATTAAATTTATTTTTATTCAAATCGAGATTTTAAAAAATAAATCAGTTTGGGACGTGACGAGACGTGACCGGTTCAAGAGCAGGAGCCATTATTATAGAAAGGTCCAAGCTGCTGCTGATTGGATGTCTCCGGGTCACGTCAGACCTCTTTTTGTGGGTTCGGAGTCGCGATTTATTGACCTATGGTACGTGAGTGGACATGGCACGTGGCACATCAATCAAGCTCGAGTACGCATCGGATGGTACAGTAGCGATTATCTGCCCTGCTCTGACGTACCTCGCTATATATATATACTAAAGCTCTTGAGAAAAAAAAAAAACGGAAAAATCCTTGTGAGACGATGAGGGCCCTTTTTTGCGCTGCGTATATATATAATATATATATATATATATATATATATATAGTCTATTGGCAAGCCAAAAAAAATGTTTTGAACAAGAAGTTCGGGTTTGATATAGAAGTGCCCCTCATCATCGGTGTATATACTGGAGTTATGATGGTGAACAATAAGTTATTGTCCATCTTATGATTATGATGAAAAATTGCCAATGATACTACAATAAATTATAGTGATCATCAAATAACGCAAACAGATTCCTGTAGCAAAAAAAAAAAGGCACAGACTTTTGGGTGTAATGTAAAAGTGGGCCTCACGAAACTATCCTCGATTTATAGCTGACCAAAATAATATCCGCCATATTGATGAAAAATTTTAATCAAGTTTTTCACGAAACTGTTGATATTTGAATCTTAAAAATCGTGTTTATCATACGCACTGTCCATAAGTTTCATACAGTAAATTCATTCATTCGGATTTTCAAAGTTTCTCTGAAGCACAGACGACGAGCAGGTACCATTGGAAAAAAATTAAATTTTCTTGGACTATCTCACAGAAGCACCATGAAAATGCATCAACCGGTGTAATTTATTCAGTTTTGGGTTATATTAGATTTAATGAGTTAAAATCCTGTATGGCTCAAAATATACATCACATATTCAACAGTCACATCGTCACTTGAAAATATGGTGCTGTGGTACTGTATTTTATAAAGAACAATCGAAAGTTATTTGCATTGCAATTCAAACTTATTAAATAATAAGTATGCAGTAAGTGCTCGCATTATTCAACACATTCTTATTTGTCCATGCAGGAGGATTTTAGTATGTTATTAGACAACTTTATTTGTTGCACAATTATGGCTTCAAACATACATGGTTTCAAATTTTTTCCATTGTAATGTACAATATGGTACAGTATATATTCAATGTAAGATCATTTTTAAAGCTAAGGGCACATCATGGATATTGAACCTCCTCCACAAATTACTGTCTGCAAACTTTGTTTAAGGCATTCTCATAAAACTTCAGGGTACATATTGGGGAAAACCTTTTCTGAGTGTTTCAAGTTTTCAATCATTCCATATTTACTGGTGAAATCTTTATTGTCACAACAAACTTCTATATCTAGGATAAGGAAAGATAGCATGTTATAAATAAGTTGCTTTTTGTAAGATTCCCTTATATGGGATGCTTTTCCAGTAAAAAAAAAGGGATGATAATCCTTCAAGATCAATTTTTTTTATCAAATCAGAATATTTCTAAGTAAACTTGAATCTCCAAGCGGAATTATAGCACATTATCAGCATATAAACAGTAATGCAAGATCTCCATGAATTTGTTCAATAAATGTATCACTATCACTATCACATGAATTAAAATTTCCTCAAGAACATTCAACATTCTATAAAACTTATTGTTCTCTGCTGCGATCAATTTGGAGCAACCTACAAAAATTATGCTGGAAACACTACATTACAGTACATTAACTCCACTTGGAATATTCTGTTCGATGAGATTTTTTAGCCTGCCTCCATGGCGCTTTTATCTGGAGGAATTTGTCATGATGAAAAATTTGCGGTATTTCTTTTGTGTATATAGACTGCAAAAAAATCATGTGAATCAGGACCGCATTCATCCTCATACCGTCTTGATTCGCATAGAAAGCCAAAAGAAAACTACTTTTTTTCGCTAAACCGCATTTCACTGAAACATTTTTCCAGGTGAGCCCTGCAGAACTGGAACGCGCCTACATGGTCATGAACGCGGCATGGCGCAACTTGTATCGTCAGGCCTACGGAGATGCTGGCTTGGAACTCGCAACAGCGCAGCAGCGCCCTCTAGGGTCCTCGGCCGCACGCGCCGTGGCCAAGCGTTTCGCTTCCAAGCGTCAAATGCGCTACAAGCAATGCTTCTTCAACCCTGTCACCTGCTTCGGCCACCGCAAGTGAACGCACATCACATCAAAAAGACCCACCCACACCTTTGCAACGCCCGTGTAACACTTTCTTCTTCCGCCGCGAACCATGAAGTTACCATTTTGCGCGAATATTAGGCGCTTTTTCGGTTGTTCCTTTTCAGTCGGCTCTGTGCATGTCTGTCTTCTCTTTGATGGCGACATATCTATGTACTGTCTTCTCTATACATGGTGACGGGAAGGATGTGAGCGATTTGTTCCCCAGTGAAATTCAATGAAAGACGAAATCTGGATAATTTTGAGCAAAATAAATCCATTTGCCAAAAAAAAAACGATTTCCGAATGTAACTCAAGGAACCGTTTGCATGTAAGTCAATTTGCCCACCGCGCAATCGAATCATCCGCAAGCGTTACTCTCCCCGCTTTTTTGTTTTATTAAGTGGCTTCACAAATGGTGTTGGTGATCCTGACTGCGTTTGAATAAAGTTCTTGCGAACGGAGAACTACGCGGACGAATGCAATCTATGTTGAAGCAAAAATGTCATGATGTGCAACAGGAAAATGGACTTGGAAAGGAAACTTTCGCATGAATCACAACCGTGTCATCAGTCGATCATGATGAGTCTCTTTCCTGTACCTTTGCATTCACTCAATATATGCACTCTTCCAATCAGCGCAAGCGCCGCAGTTCAGAATGCATGACTGATTATGTGAACGACGAAGCTACAAGCATGTGAAATCCGTTTTTAATCCAGATATGCGAAGTGTGGTCGCTTCAGAAAAATTCCCATTATTGTAATTCACATCATTGTCCGTTGTTGCCGTTCCTTCGTTCGCGGGATGTTGACGAGTAAACCATAATCGACAGAAACCTGGTTTCGGATCGATAGCTGAATGTGTGCTGGGCGGAAGGCAATGAAAAAACCACATCAAGAAAGGAAAATATGGCGCTGTGTTGGTGTTCGCTGTTCGTTACGTCAAAATTTTTTTCTTACTGAGTACAGCTAGCATATATTAGCGCGTGTTTTAATATAATCGTATTAAACGCACGCCTGCATCATGCTTCTTCGCAAATATTGATCCATTAGTAAAAGTTTTCTCGTGCTCCTGGAAGTAACTTTCTTCGTGACATACGCGTAAGCTGCGTCACCCGACTGTGTTCTCTTTTGGAAGACCATGCCAGTTCTGTATACTGTATACGCATGGATGGACGTAAACTTACTTTTAATCTGAGCCATTTAATTCGTCTATGTCTACAATATAGTTCAATTGTGTAAGAGTTTATTTCTTTTGAGCGACGAACTCCAAGGCGGTGAAGCGTGTATTTTTTCTTGTCTTATCCGAATTCATACGACGTCGTAACTCGTAACACTCCGCAAATTTTTTCCTGAGCAATACTGAAGATGAATCAATTGTAATTCTTTCCCTCTTGCTTGGAAATGCTGTTGACTGTGTACACGGGTTGTCATCGACAGAAACAATGTCCTAAAATCATTGTGACGCACTGACGTCAAACCTATGTATAGGAAGTGATGTATCGAACCTCTTTTGCGACCGAAGTGGAAAAAATCATTCTGAGATTATAAAAGCGCAACGAGATGGATAAATAGGATTTTCCCGCTATAAATCTGGGGAGAAACAGAATGCGTGGAATAAGTTGATTTCCGATGAGACATTTTATCGAAATTCTGCCTTAAAAATGCCTTGCTTTTCATCATGATCCACTATCGTCTGTCTGAGAACCAGACGCATTTAGAATCGAAGGAAGCATGTATATATGCATATGACCGCATGGACATTTTTAACGTGCAGTCAACCTGAATGGAAGAAAAAAGTTATACAGCTTGTCTATAAGTTCGATAATTTATTCAAGGTATACAACATCCAACGTGTTGTCATTTCATTTTATGCATGATTTGTTCGCACTTGTTTTGCGAAGAATGCAGCGATATTACGTTTCACAACGAAAATATTATATTATTTGCCTAAGAATCTCTCTGATTCGGAAGAATCGAAGCGTCATCGTAATTTACTAGTGTACAGTGCAGTGTATATGTACAAAGTTACTGGATTTTATTATCAAATTTTCCCGTGTAGCTCTTTTTCCTTCGATTCTGAAGGCCCAATCACATTCGCAGGCTTTGAAGCCGCTTATTGAAAGCCAAACGAAAACGAGCTCAGCCTCCAATGAAATTCACAAATATTTCCATTCGTTGGTCTTCATGTGTCAGTGCACGAAATCATCATGAGAATCGCCCAGTGAGAAAAAAACCTGCTTGATTTATATGGAAGCGAAAATTTTTAAAATGACATACGAAGCATCACCAAAAAATATCGTGGACCATTTTTCCCGGTGAGATGTGGCTCGTAAAACACGCGTCACCGCTGCACAAAAAGAAAAAAGGTCTGGCATCACCCAGCATAGGGATTACGACTGGAACCCCTCTCGGGACCCCTTTTTCCGGGTTCCCAAGACGACCTTTATGACCGTACACATATACTCACTGCGGTGATCAAGACGTCTCTTTTTTCCGCCGCCACACCCTCGGCGACTGAGCCCAGGCTTTGAGAGGCGCCTTCCAAAGAAAATTAGCAGGATTCATGTCGCTTTTGTGCACACACCGACGTATCGGGCTTTCAAAAGTACAACAACGAAGAAGAAACCGGCCGACCCAAGGGAACAGGTCGAGTGAAGTGGGTTTTCCTTCGGTCAATGGCTAACAAATGATGCGGGCATCAGGAGCAGCGGAAAGAAACGGATAAATGACCTGATGAAAAGGGGCCCCTTCTGCCAAAAACAGAGCGCAATCCGGGATTCATCAGGAAAATTCGGCCCTTACACAACTTCGTGATCCATTTTGGATGCTGTGGCCTTCGACTGGATATTCTCACCCAAAAAAGTACACTATGTATACTCTGAGCAGAAGAAAAAAGAAGGGCTGAATAAAAAGCCGTGTGAAGGAAAAAGTTTGGTTTGAATACCCGAGGTCTGCGGGGGCCAGAATGAGAAAGAAAAATTGCACAAAAGAGGATCTTTTCCGTCCGAGGCCGGGGTTCATTTATTTCCTTTGAAGCCTTCCCATCGTGGTCCTCATTACCCGAGTTGCCAAATTGACCCTAGGGTCACTCAGGGATATAATGATGATCCACTGCCCCTTCAACACATTGCCAATTCTTTTTTATTTCTTTTGCGATTCTGGGAAGAAGGAGACCCTGGATGGACCCCTGATTGCAAAGCCTGATAATTTCAAAGCCTTATATGAAATAAACAAAAGTTAAACTCAAATCTTGAAATGAAAAGGAATATCTGAAAAAAATGTCCTTGGAGTATGGAGTGAATTATAGTAAAGACAAAGAAATGATTGGGGACAGGCTGATAAATATAATGTTCATGAAAAAGTTTCAGATGTTTGTTTTAAATTTTCTCAGAGTAATTTTATATAGAAGGGTACTTGGAAATGATCTCACAAAGCTTTTAAATTGTTTTAGGTAACAACATAGTGAAATGAATCACATTGTTTTCTCAGGTGTGATTTGCATATCATCATCCCAGTAAATCGTGAATAATTAATATTGTACTATAGGCCTGTAGAGTTCAGAATTCTGATGTTGGCTTGATAACCTGATCTTTGAATTAAATGCAAACACAAAAAATGTACCTTCATAAAACTGTCATCAACATAATTGAAAATCTTCAAATCCATGAATCTCAATGATCCACTGGAATAATCAGTTCATGTAGCAGTGAAGTTAGCCAGGGAATAAAAGAAGAAAAATCTAAATGAAAAGACTGAAACACAGAATATGCTGGGGAACACATCATGACATTTTTTTTTAAAGTTCAAACTCCCAAGTAAATTCACAAAAAATTATAAGCAAAAGAAAATACATACAAACAGGAGAATGTTTCAGAAATCATTAGGCAGAGATCTTCCCCTATAAACAGGTGATTAACACAGAGATAAGCATTCATAAATCAGTGGTTTTCAAGCGCTCAAGTTTTATTATAGTTGCTGTTCACTTTCCCACATAAGTTGTTTCAATAACATGATACATACTGCTTTAATTCCTCTCAAGAGCTAAAATGTGGGCATGGTTATTTGAGTGAACGCCAAAAAGAACACTAGAAAACGACTTCTAAGAATCAACTTAAACTTTAATTACCATTGGAGAACGCCTCAAAAGTTGAATTAAAGTCTGAGCATGAAAGAACATGGAGACAATCCTTGCTCCATGATGATATAAAAAGCTTTGAAAATGCCAAAAAAGGCTAAAAATTACTTTAAAAAGTGAAGATCGCCAGAATGTAAAAATCAAGTGCCTCATCATTTCAGTGAATCATGTTTTGGCTGTTCAGAATATTAATTTTAATAAATTACACTGAAATTCTGGTATTATGCAACAGTTGCTGGCATTTCATGCTGGAAAATTTCGCAGGTATTATATGATAAACAAAAATATTACCAAACTTACGCAAGAATGTGAACTTCAAATTTCCAGCTGCTGTTTTTCCTTTCTAATATCACAGATAAAATGTCCTATCTCACTGTACTGCGTGGGTGCTTCTTTCTGCAAGTTCCTTTGCAATAAATACAGTATGTATGCAAAAAATAATTCATGAGAAAAATAAAAATAATACGGTAAAGCTAAAATATATAAATATGTATATATATATATATATATATATATATTATGTATATATATGAATTACATTATTTTTTGCATATATATATATATATATGCAAAAAATAATTCATGAGAAAAATAAAAATAATACAGTAAAGCTAAAATATATAATTATGCATATATAAATATATATATATATATACGCAAAAAATAATTCATATATATATATATATATATTATTTATATGTAATATAAAATTTTATCTTTACTGTATTCTTTTTTGCATGAGTAATGCATTATGTAGGAGCCTTATTCACAAAATCACTAATTCTTTTTTTTTTTAATAAAGGTCCAACAATACTGAGATGTAAGAGACACCCCAGCAGCAGTGGCCTTCAGAAGTGAATTTTAGGAATCCCAAGTACATCCCACCCCAACTCAACTACCAAAAATAAAAATAAAAAGATAACCATTCATACCTTCCCTTTCCAATACAGAAAGCGTGGGAACTAATACATGGTGCTGACACGGGAATTTTTTCCTGTACCCATCAGTGAAAGCCGCAGCGATAATTCGCTTTCAGCTGGGCACATATAAATACCGCCACCATCAAAAATGTCCACCTGAAAAGTCAAGATCATAAATTGAAGGAAGGAGCTTCAGCAGAGGAATAAGCCGGATATACTGGCTATTATGTGGTCTTTAAATTTACTTTTCTTGGTCTTGGGGCTTTGTGCCTCTGGTGCAGTGGCCCAATGGGACCCAAACACTGTGGATGGACGCAGTGCCATTGTGCATCTATTTGAGTGGCGCTGGAATGACATTGCGGATGAGTGTGAGCGGTTCCTGGGACCAAAGGGTTATGCTGGTGTCCAGGTACGTATGTACAGCAGTGGTACCTTGCAAAAAAAAATTTCAAGAACAACGTTCATTTTACAAATCATGTTTGTATTAAGAGTGAATTTCCTCATTTGAATAAAGAAAACCTTTTTTGTAAACTAATTGTGCTTTCAGTACGGTAGAATCTTGTTAATATCCATATTCCTCTAAAAAATTAAAGCTTAAAAGTAATTGTATTCTTTGACCTCTGTCCAATATAGCCAACATCTTATGTTGTCTTTAATTTGGTGAATTTTGTGTTTAGAAATGTGGAAGAAGTGAAGCCAAGGATTTTGCAAAATGTATTTTCTCACCCATTGTAAAAAAAAAATTGTATATGCATGCATTATCAGGCTTGGCTGCAAATCCTGGAGAATGCCAAGATTGACAGCCTATATTCTTCAAATAATGAAGAGGCATATTTTAAAAAACTGCATGGAGTGAATCTATATAATGAGTTGTGAACACAAAGAAGTTAAAATGCTACATGCATGTCCAATTAAGTACTGTACAAGGATACAAGAATTACACTGCACATGACCATTTTCAGGGAACACCCTTTAAAATTTGAGAACTATATGGAACTGCCAAAATTCACTGGAATAATTATAATACAATATAGCTCATCACCACAGGTTGAGATTGCCCACTTTTTATGCTTGGTCACTTCAACTAATCTTCATCAAATTTCTTCCTATCAGACTTCACCTCCTTCAGAAAATATCATTGCCTACATTGATGGAAAGAGCAGACCCTGGTGGGAACGGTATCAGCCCGTTTCCTATAAACTGGAGACCAGATCTGGAACAGAGTCAGAATTCAGAGACATGGTTCGCCGCTGCAACAATGTGGGAGTCAGGTGAAACATCTGTTATTTCTTTTAGAATGAGTGGTTCATATTACAGGTGGAATTCCATTGCAACATATTTCAATACTGTGAAAAAAGGATTTGAGTTGCTGCAGAAGTTTTTTTTTTTCAAAAGTCCTTATGGAAAAACCCAAGACATATATAATAAGGGACACAAATCTTGCTGTAAGAACTTTTTAGAACTAAAATAGAAGTTAATTCCTTGCTAGTGAATTTTTTTTCTGCATTTCTACCATAGGTTTAACAATGCAGGGGTTTAAAAACAACAGATGAGGTAGTTATATCTACCAGAATACATTGAACTTGGACTGTTCAAAACAAGTTTCATTTTGGTGGCATTTGGTCAAACAAAAATGCACTTGCATGTCTATAAAAGCTCTGACTGCCACAGGACAAGAAAATAATTTCCTGCTATCAACAAGAAAAAAAGAGTCTACTACATGTTTTACTACCATGAAGTCTGATCTGTACTCACAAAAAATGTGTCTACATTGACTTTGGTTCAGGGTGTATCCAGATCTGGTGATCAACCACATGTCTGGCTACTGGCCTGGTGGAACAGGGGCTACTGGTGGCTCCAACTTTGACACAGGATCCTTGAACTACCCTAACTTTGGGCCCAATGACTTCCATGGATCATCTGATTGTCCAACTGGTTCAGGCAACATTGAAAACTACAATGATGCTAATCAGGTGAGACATTAAATGGCTTTTTAGGTCTTGTCTTTAACTCCACAATCCTCATATAATTCTTCATAGCAAAGTGAAGCTGTCTTATTTGTTCAATCTCTGATTGAATCATAGTCTTCATGCATGAGAAATGCATGAAATTCATTTACTGTGTATTTACGCTTTTTGAGTCTTTAAAAAAAAAGAATATACCTTTTTGCTTTGTGCTTATGTGACTTTCCACCTCTTAGTATTTCATCTAAAAAAACTAGCCTCTGTTTTCTACCTTGTTACCTTCATGTACTGTACAGTCAACCCCTGCTCAATAGACCTCCTTTGCACCATGGATTTTTTCTTAACAGACTGCACCTCTGAAGGCAGTTTTCCCTCCCATACAACAGACTAAATTCACATAGCATACTTCTGTTGGTTCAAAATCGATGGTGAAAATTAAAAATTTCATTTTTTAACAATTTAATTTGCATAACAGACTTTTCACACAACAGACTACTGTAGTGTGTGGCACAAATCAAGTCCATTGTGTGGGGGTTGACTGCATTTCAAAAGATACATTTTTTGAGATTCCAGAAGCAATAAATTTGCAAAGGGAACACATTGTCACATGAAAATGTGGAAAAATCATTCAATTTCCTTTTTTAAATCTCTTATAGGCATATTCTAACTGGAATGTGAATTTTCAAAGATAAAGAAGCATAAGATGAAGGTAATTTAATTTTATACCTTGGATCTGAATGAAAGTTCAAGAAATTTCCATGTTAAATTGTCTAACTTGATTCAAGTTGCTTTGCCTTGATGATGATAGAGGAAGAAGAATTTCGATTATTTGATATGCTTCACCTATATTGTTTCCTCTAATTCGTGTTTAGTGTTGGAATAATTTGATCCTATTCTATTTAACTCAGGAAATTATTGATTTTTAAATAACATACATGTATTGCGGAATGAACAGCTTTCACTTTAATGCCTATATCGTGTTGTATCTTACCCATATTTTGGGGGTTTATGAGCATAAAAATCTGGCTTTACTTCAAAATCCGACCTTGTGCAATTTTCCTTTGTAAATAATTTTTTGAAGGTGAGAAACTGCAAATTGTCTGGTCTGAACGACCTTAACGGAGGTTCCGACTACGTCCGAAACACAATTGCAGAATACCTCAACAGACTTGTGAGCTACGGTGTGGCTGGTTTCAGGTGAGTGTCACTCAAATGACTGAACAAATTAAATTGAATACCCATGCAACGAAGACAAAAAAAAATTTTTTAAGTCTATATAGAAATGAACTTTAAAAATGTGTGGTTCCCGGATGTTGGCGGGGAAAATTCGCTGATTTCCGGGCACAGGAACTCTTTATCGATTCGTGTTCACGTGAAATCGATGACCATCATTAGGACGAGAAATCAGAGCTTTCACATTATTTGTCAATATTTCTTGGGAAAATTGCTTCAAAAATAACACAAAAATCTGCAGCCAATAATGCAGATCGAAACACCACCAGCTGAGTGGATTGAAATGCTTTTCATATTATTGACGTTGATGAACCATCAGGTCTTCTTGCATATTTTTCGAAAATCAGATTTTTGTCCATGTAAAAAGTTCAACTCTAGTTCATCAGAATAAGAAAAATTAATTGCATTCGTCTGAAGCATTTGTAAGAATACGAGTTATTTTACGGGCACTTTTTGGATTTTCTGAATCTTGTATTTTAGCTCGTACATTTTTCAGCCCGTGCAATTTTTTGAGAACTTCTCATCAATTCGAAAAATAATTCAAGTTATGACACATGAAAGCTGAATAAATCTGGAAAAAAGGAAAAAAATTGAATGCATTTTTAAAAATCAATCTTTATACTGTATGACCCAAAAGTCAATCAAATTCGATTGAAAAAAAATATATAGCAAATATTTCGTTCGCTATATAAAAGCACCTCACGTGAACACAAAAAGCCTGTCATTCTGCACTGGGAAGCGGAAAAATGAAGTCTTTGCCAGATTCTTTCCTATATACTTTTCCACAATAATACACGGGTTTCATAAATTCTTGTGGTCGTTCTGAGCTCCTTTGTCTCGATTTTGGCTCAAGATTTCTGTCAGCTTGAGCCAGCTGAATGTCATTTTGAACAAAAAAATATCAAAATCTTGATGGTGGTTGTGCTTGCTGCTGATATGGTGAGCTTTAACTTTTGAGCTTTCTCCTTGATGGCTTGCTGATAAATCCTGATGGGGGTTTAGTTGCATTGCTTCATGAAATATATCGTTGACATGAGGAATTTATTTTTTTGAATACCAGTGTGGGTTTCAAACTCCTGCTGAGATCCTTAATATACAGTATATACATATTCATATCGATTTTCTTACGTGATGGACAAAGAAAAAAATACATATTTTTTTTCTTTATCCATTATATATATTTTTCTGTGAAAAATGTACATAATGGATAAAGCTTCATGGATAATGGATAACGCTTTTTTCTTTATCCATTATATATATTTTTCACAGAAAAAAATAACACATATAAAAATATATATAGTATAATGGATAAAGAAAAAAAAAATATATATATATGTATTTTTCTTTGTACATTTTTTCTTTAGAAAATCGAAATATATACATATATAAATATACAGTACATATTTCTATATTTCGATTTTCTCAAGTGATGGATAAAGTCACAGGAAAATATATGCCTGAAAATATGCAATCTTAAATCGAAGAATAGAGAGGACATTTTCATATATCAGTCGAAAGAACATCAACTTGGGTTTTTTATATATACGTTTTGGATGCCAGAGTTTATTTAAATAAGTAATAATAATTTGCTGGCTTTTTCGTTAGTTCATTATTTTTCTTCGGACTAATTTCCTTTCATTTTTGACACCCTGGACTCAAAAACGCTATTCCAATAAAAGTTTAAAAAAAACAATTCGAGTATTTTTTGAACAATTGAAGAACATTTCCCTTAACTATAAAATGTGTCTCTATATATACATTACTCAGATTAAAAAAAGAAAATGTATCGTCTGACCATTTGCTTTCTATAAGCTGGGATTTATTTATTTTGACCGAGGGTCGATCGAATCACAATAAGTCATGTTATTGACCCTGCAAAAATTATTTCTGTCTTTCAATAATTTAGCTTCCATGCTTTTTACTTTCTCGATAATTCAATATTCGGTTTTTTTATGTTTTGTGCGACAGGATTGATGCTTCGAAACACATGTGGCCCGGTGACATTCAGGGAACTCTTGCCAAAGTCAATGATTTAAGTACAGAACATGGATTTCCAGCTGGTTCCAGGCCTCTCATTTATATGGAGGTCATTGATCTCGGTGAGAAAAATTATAGCGTCATTATGCTTTAAAGTTTCTTTTTACATTCAGATATTTAAAAATGGGTTTACCGACCTTTTGTTACGGGCTTTTCATAGATGGGCCTTTTCGTTACAAGGACACATTTGTTACCAAACGTTTTGTTATTGACTTTTTGTTACAGCACTTTTTGTTACAAAGATTTCTTGTTACGTTTCATTTTTGTTACACGTCATCTTTGTTACGGGTACATTTTGTTTGGTGTACTATTGGATTCAGGCTAGACAATGTTACCAACTCATTTTGTAACCAAAATTTGTATATTCTGATGCACCAATTAAATTTAAGAGAAGTATCAACCTAAAATTTGGTACGTTGCTCCTCCAATTGACAATAACCATTGCAAAATCCCTCTAGCCCATGGATTCACAATCTCATCCTCTTCCTCTAGGTCTTCTTCACTGTCCCAGGCTTCCTGAAATCTAGGCAGCAATGACAAAAGTCGTTCATCCGTTTTTAAGAGTGTCTTTGACTTCTGTGTAATGATTCCTCCTTCTCGGATAAGTATCCACTGGCTTTCGGCATATAATTCCTCTTTCTGTACTGTGCTCATGAATTTATATATGGAAGGATGATTTTTCCCCATGATTGTCTTGAACCTTATAATAAGGTTTTATTTTGTTGTAACAAAATAGTGTTTCTGTAACAAAATTGTAATGATACAAAAGTAGCCTGTAACAAAAGAGCAATGTAACAAAGTACTACTGTAACGTACATGATTGTTACAAAGTAGTGCCAGTAGCAAAAATGTTTTGTAATGAAAGGCCGCCCGTAACAAATTGCCCGTAACGAAAAGTCGCATTTGCGAATAGCCTGTAATGAATAGTCGCTTTACCTTAAAAATGGCCTTTTTCTGAAAAAGATCTACAGTAGCTCAAAAAATCCCAGGAAAAAATTCCCTGGAACTAGTCCTTTTATTATATGTTTTATTTTTGCCAAAATTTAATTTTTTGTAATTCATTTCTGAAGCCAAATTTTGTTATGGCATTATTGTTTCAGACAGTTATTGTTTCCATCAGGTCGCGCTTTCAGAAATTCCTCATTTCTCTAAAATTGACGGAAATTTTCCTATTATATATACAGTATTTCATGAATTCATTATATACAGGACCCAAAAGTTAACCCAGAACACCACTGAAAAATCGCATGATTCGCCATCACAAATTCGAACATTAGATATTTTTCCTGGCATTCATATTTTCATTGTAAATTTTTTTTTTTCAAACCTATTTTTTCTTGAAAATGCAGCAGGTACAATATTTAAGAATCTGAATTTGCGTGTTTCTTCTAAACTTTAACGCAGAACTGCCTTCCATATTTTTTGTCCTAACTAATCGAGATGCTCCGAACTGATTTTATCTTTCTTTAAAATATTCAATTTTCTCCCGATTAAGGTGGAGAAGCGGTGTCACAGAATGAATACTACGGCTTGGGCAGAGTGACTGAGTTCAAGTATGGTGCTAATTTGGGTGAAATTTTCCGACGCTATAATCAGCTTCAATACGTCAGCAACTTTGGTAATTATCCTGATTACAATCATCACTAGACAAGTTCATATTTTTTTCCAGGATGCGCTATTGCTTTTGAAACTTCATATATGTCATCAAGAAATGTACAAGGCCTCAAGCGCAAATACAACAGTTAGGTTATGAGATTTGGACATGATAACATCTCAGATTAGGTCTATTTTTTAAATTTTTTGCATATGTGGGATCACATTTTCGCATAAACTTGAAAGGAAAAATTGGGACCCTTTTCACATTTGGAAAAAGTTTGAAAAAGTCCTCCAAAAATGCAACAAAAAAGTTTTCTCAACCTTGAAAAACATAAAATAACTGCAGAAGAGAACTAAACAGAATCTGATTTTGCATAAAAAGGAATTTGAAGGGAAAAATCAGCACACTGTCAGAACAGATACACAAATTGTTGTAATACTTTATATATATACAGTTTATATTCAAAAATAGAAAAAAGTCCAAAATTGACCTGTTTTGAAAATAAAATTCTATAGTGACTTTTCAAGGAGTTTTATTTTGACCTTTTCTATGAAATTATAGCACAATTGAAAGTAACAAAATTTTTAAAATAAAATTGTCTTCCTTCTTCTTGAAATTTTGAAATAAACTGCCAAGAACTTGAGTCATTGTTGAGATTTCAGGGCAGAATTTTTTTTTAGCTGAAGTGCCTGTAATTCAATTTGTCCTCATAGCATGTTGAGGCGTCCATATTTCATGATCCCCTTAAATTCCTCTTGAGAGATTGACGTTTACACAAAAGGGTGACTTTTTCAGGTGAAGGTTGGGGCTTTGCTCCAGGAAACAATGCCCTGGTATTTATCGACAATCATGACAACCAGCGTGGACATGGAGCTGGAGGAGCAAATATTCTCACCTTCAGGCTCCCACAATTGTACAAGGTTTGTAAATTTTCTTCCAACTAAAATGTTGTCAACACAAATTCAGACCATCGCAAAAACTGTCAAAAATGGAAAACCTCACAAATATCGACGCTTTAATAAGAAATATTTTATTTAGAAAGGTAGGGTTCCAGTGGATGACAAGTCTTGCATGTTACCACTAAAAATAAAAAATAAATAAAAAAGCTCACGAAGTAGCTGCCTTTTCATTGGGTATTGATTCTTATGAATAGGCAAACATTTATTAAAGCCCAGCACTGTCAAATACTGTATCATGTTTTGAAATATGAAACGTTTTACAGCATTCTCGATTTTGAAATCATGTTGGGAAAAAGAAACTGAATCTATAGCCTAATACATAGGAGAATGCTTTTCTTGAGTATTCCTTCATTCAAATTTCTGGTTAAACCTTTATTTACAAACTTTACCCATCAGGTGGACGAAAGTGAACAAATTAGTGAATTTTCAATCACCAAATTTTGTCATTCCAAAATAATATACCGTCAAAATTCCGGCTTTTTGATTTACAATTGTATATAAGCGAATAATTCTAGAAAAAAGTTTTTAACGAATTTGTATGATGCATTTTTCAAAAAATTTGTATCGGAATTATTGTCAAAAGTAAGGAAACGGAAACTTGAGGAAAAGAAAACATTTCTGAAAGCCTTCCTCATCTGGAGAATTCTGAAGAATCTCAACATTTTCCCCCCAGGAAATCTTGACTGCTTGGATAAGATTTTTGACGGGTTTGAAACCAGGGAATGCAATAATGAAAACTGTCATTCCTGTTTTTGTCTTTTGTTTATTTTTTGTAGGCAGCAACTGCTTTCATGCTGGCCTGGCCTTATGGATTCCCAAGGGTGATGTCCAGCTACTACTGGGACCAGAACTTTGTCAATGGCGCTGTGAGATCCATTTATTCCTCCATTCCAATGTAATTTAGTGGAAACAAGAAAATACTCATACTTTACCCACCCTAACATCAAAATATAAGTATACTGCACTGCACTGTATATTTATATAACCCTAAAATGCTGATACCTATGAAGAATTTGACCTAGGGACACTCTGACCAGAAAAAAATCTGCCCTGACATCTGGACAGTGACTCAGGATATGGAAATTTTACAAGATTTCTGGACAAATTTTAATGTTTAATTTTTAAAATATTTCTTCTTCATAAGAAAAAAATTGAGCCATTTCTACAGGTGTAACCTTGCAATTTGACATCCTGCAATTTGATCATTCCACACTTCAACAGTCAAATTCTCTGGAATATTGACTTGCAATTTGACCTCTGCCTTAGTGCCTTGCAATTTGACCTCTCCCTTGCAATTTGACCTGCAGAGAAACCCAAAACATCAAAGTTGATGCATAAAGCATCAAAACATGACATTGTCTTGCAATTTGACTGCTTCACAAATTGGACCCCAGCCTAGCAACGGATTTGGGTCCAATTTCAGGGCACCAGCTGTACTTACAAATCCTGAAAAAAATGTCAATATAAAATTACCCTAATTTATAAGAAAAAACGGGCTAATTCTTTGCTTCTTTTTAATTTTTTTTTAAATCATTTGTGATCAGGATAGTAAGACTTGTTCTTGTTCTTTGCATCTTGAGCTTCTTCTGATGAGGGAAGATGAGATTATGTGTGGTTTTCTTCTGCGCAATTTGTTTTCTGGATCTGGACATTTTGAGCAAAAATTATTATATTCAATTTTTGGAGGACTTTTTTCAAACTTCAACCCTATACAGGGAGAACTAATTTAAAATATTCTCATTGAACTCTATGGACAAATCATGTCCAACATACAGACATTTTGACTTTGTGACAATGTCCATGAACCAATTTCGTCCAAATCTTGGGGTCCCAAATGGCTTATACTCTAAAAAAAAAAAGGGCTGTTCCTGTTTTTTTTTTAAATAAGGGTCTGAATAATTAGAGACGATTCAACCACATGTAGTGGGCGGATACTGAAATATTTCTAACGCATTTTTTTTTATTATATCTGCCTCTCTTTTAGGACGCTAATGATTGGATTGGACCACCTCATGATGGAAACTTCAACACTTTACCTGTGCAAATTAATGCTGATGACACTTGCGGAAACGGTTGGATTTGCGAACATCGTTGGAGGCAAATTTACAACATGGTTGCCTTCAGAAATGCGGCCGGATGTGAGTATAGTCTCTAAATCTGATTATAAATATTTCAAATGACTCAATTTTTTAATGCCTATCCTGTTATTTAAATTAATACATATATCAAATAAGATTGGGAACAAGAATACGGCATTTCACCCGAACCTTTTTCTTTCACAAATACTCGTGTGACCAAAATTGGCGGTTTTTTTCACGAAAATGTTTGTTGCTCCCTGATGACGACGGTTGTATTTCTAAAAAAAATATACTTCAGCATTCTTCTTATTGGTTTCTTCGTGTGTGTGTTTTTTTTTTATATTATACAGTGGAGCCGGTGCAAAACTTTGTGGTGGGATCCGCGAACCAAATCGCATTCGCCAGAGGATCCAAAGCTTACATTGCCATCAATAACGAAGACTTTGATTTCAATGGAACATTCCCCGTGAGTAGAATCCGGAAAAGCGCAGGAAACTGCATCAAAATTCATGAAATTCAGTTATTCCAAATCAATTGAGGATGCTGCGGTATCTTAAAATTTTTGAAAATCTAATAATATAAGAGGGATATATCCTCGACTATCTGAATCAATTTTCTGCTGTCGACATTTTTCGCAGTTGGAAGATCTTTAGGGCTAATTTTAAAAAATATTTAAATTACTGAGTATTTAAAAACTATTTAGTAATTTCGTATCATTCTTCACGGCATTGAGGCACTTTTCATTATTTTTAAACATTTTTCAAATCTTCAGGATGCGAGTAATTTTGTAAACACTATACCAATCCTTGAATTTAACTGAGAAGCATATTATTCCTCATATGATTGTTTTTCTACTTTTGGAATGGTTTTTGCGTTTCTTATGATCAAATTGTAAATTATTCTTCCAGCTTTCACAATAATAGAAGAAATCCAAGTCACCCATCATTTACAAGCACAATTTTTAATTTTAGATCATTAGAAGTGACAATCAGCAGACACTTCTAGCTCAAAGAAAATTACATTTGGCTGACATTTTTGTAACAATAATACAATCAGAGGAGGAAAGTGTTTTTAAAATATACAAAATTTGCGTATAAAATGATGTATTTGAACATTTCTAAATTGTTGGCTGCAGACTGCTGAGTATGATTTATTCTCTCCGAAAGAAAGCATTGAGATTCTATTTTTATTTGGATTACAAAGTTCATTGATATAATTATGTGGAATATCTAATATATTAAAGTGAAATTTGAAACCTTCATGTTATACATTACTGTATATGTATGACTCCTTTTCTTAGTTCTGTGCCAAGTGAAATATTATTTCATTTAATTTCTATAGTTTTTGTAAACTTTGACTCCCCAGGAAAACCAAATGCAAATATTTGTCATGCTCCAAAAAAGTATTGGGTAAAGAATGCATCCAACTTTGTGTCAACATCACATTTGTTTGGTACATGAGATACAGAAGGCATGCATTGTTGATGCAAAATTTGAGCATCCAGCAATTTGGTCATGTACCCATAGGATGGAGAGATGACACAAAGTGGGATGCTTCAGCATTTCCAAGCAGTATAATACTCATCAGAAAACAATGCAGGTACAGATGGTACCTTGCAATTTGACCTCCCTCAATTCAACCATCCCGCAATGCAATAGTCAAATTTTCAGGGATGTTGACTTGCAATTTGACCTGCTTTTTCTATATTTTAGCATTTTTGTACTTATATTTTGAATTTGATGGAGTGTCTCACAATTCAACCAATTTGAAGTTTGAACAAAGTTTGGCAATGGATTAAGGTCAAATTGCAAGGTACCACCTGTATGACATGTTTCAAAAGCATCCTGAAAGTACCTGTAGATCTATTGGTCATAATCTGATTTACTGATTTTATTTTTCAAATATCTAGAGTGGTTTACCAGCTGGCCAATATTGTGATGTGATCTCTGGAAATTTGGTCAATGGCTCATGCACTGGAAAAACTGTCACAGTGAATGGCGATGGATCTGTCAATGTTAACGTACCAGCACCTGGTGGAGACGGTGACAGAGTTCTTGCCATTCATGTCAACGTAAGTTGAAACATTTATGCTCAAACAAAATTCTGAGTTTCTTTGAGGATGTATTTCTTATGATATTTCTTCTCACAGGCAAAGCTGTAACTTGCTCAACAAAGGGATCAGCACAATTTTGTCTCAGGGTCCACTGAAGGATGAAAAGCTTATATTTTAATTGGTCATAAAAATACAAACGAATTTTGTTTTTCTGGATAATTCCTGCGTTTCATTTTAGTGATGTTTTTGAGGTATTCACAGAAAATGATGACATTTTATCTTTAAAAAAAATAATAACTCCTAACATGATAATATGTGAGGCTTTATCACGTGAATATTGCCAACAGCTAGATAGCTTTGAGGCTCAGCAGGAATGAGAAGCCTGGTGCTATTCATTCAAAGGAACCCAGGTTACAAAGGATGGGGTATTTCCAAAATATTGAACATTTCTGAAATGTCAAAAAGCAGACGATGCTTGAAACTGATTCAACATTTTCTGAAAACGTTCAATGTTGAATGGAGTACATTTTAAGATACACACTTTCCGAAGACACGAACAGGAATTTATTTTGTGGTCAACATTTATTCATCACCATGAAAGAAAACAATGAATTATGATGTGTGATAACATAATTAAACTGTACAATGTACGGTAATTTGATTTCTCAAGTCCTGTACACATAATTACAAACGTGGTCATATAAAAAGCGAGGACAAATGTTTAAAAATTGGATTCAGATTATTATGAATGAATTTATTGGCACGTCATCATCGTGACTCGATTGAATTCAGCAGCATGCATAATTCTTGATTGTTTCCATGATTCAAATTCTCAGCGAAAATATTCTCTCTTTTTTTTGTAGAATTTCGGATACGATAAACATCCTTATACCGATTCGCGTATGAATCGGAATAAGGGTACTGAACTATGAGTTTTTTGTTCAGGGCTTCAACAAAATTGGTGAGCATTATTTTTAAAACGTTTCTTTTTTTCCATCACAGCGAAAAAAAATTGTTATTTAATGAATTGGTAGATGAAATTTCATGAAGAAAATCGACCCGAATTCCACGAAATTATTACTGTACTTTTAAAACTTTTCAGGGAACGACTGGCCAACGAAAATCGATCCCAATTTCGCATTTTATTTTAATTTTATTTCTGAATAAGAGGAGACCTAAGACACAGCAGGGATCCGTTTTAATGGGTTTCATGAGCCATTTTTCGCAGTCACTTCCTTCTTCGTTTATTTTTACCCCATGTGGTGAGAAGAAAAGAACCCAAGATCAACTCACAGGGTCGAAATCGCGACGGTCGACACCAGCTCGAAGCACCGACACACACCGACACAGGTTTTTCTTCATTGCTGAGTGCTGACGCGAAAAGACTCACTCACGTCACCGACTTCGATAAATTTCACTTTGCCAACTTTCGTTTAATTCACGTACAGTAAGTATATACCTATACTACTGCTATACGCCTAAAGCAAGGGGGAAAGTTTGGGATTGTTCTCCAAATTGATATGAGAGTGACTTGATAAAGTCAAGTATATATACAGGGTTCAGGGCTTTTGGTTGGCTTTTAATTGTCATGGGTCCATTGGATCCCAGGCAAAGGAATTGAATTTTGCAGCCATCAGAAAGCAAGTTTTGAATAAGAACTCAAACTCTTTTCAGAGGAGTTCATTCTCATTGCCCAGTTCATCAATTGGCTGTTAATTTAATGGTTGTAATGGTAGAGTCAATTGTAAGATTGGTTGGTTAGCTCAGAATATTGAATGAGGTAATTAAAGTTAAAAGGCCCTTTAACACTAGGTTCTCACTTTTCCTCTGAAAGAGGAATGAAGGCTTTTATACTCAGGTGCATTATTTGGTCAGGAAGAAATCAGGTGATTTCTTCCTGACTCAGGATTGGAAAATTCAGGAAAATCAAGGAGGCGATGACCACTTCTTGGCCTTGGGTGAGGCTCAGTGAGTCTTGCAAAAACAGGATTTTTGCACAGCTCACTGGCCTCAGAAAAGTAACAAATTTTCTGGTCCGGTTTCGGCCGGATGCTGGAGCTGCGTGGCTTCGGGACAGGCGCTACAGTCCACAACACTGTTTATGACACTAAAATGCCAAAGACACAATGCATATATTAGCAAGAACGAAATTGAAAACAAATGCAAATTTCATGAAAACCAATCTTTAAGAGAATTCAATAATGGTCATACTGATCTGGTCAGCTGTATACGAAGAAACAGGTCGGACACATGATAAAATGATTACAGAAAATAATTTTGTCCTACATCATCAGGCAATTAAAAATCGTATACATTCGATTCATGCTCATGAAGACCTTGTGATGCTCCAAGAACTTTTTCACTACAGCGACATCTTTACTTCATTTTAGAAACACGAATAAAATATATTTTCTTCAAGGATACAGAAGCCGAGAGAAGCACGACATCGTGAAACAATTCCTACGGTACCCGCAGTACACCGGGGGCTAACACAACAATTTTTCATGAAATAAATAATAAATGAGAAATAAATAACTGTGAATAATTGAAATTGATCGGCGAGTGAAATTCCTGGAAACCTCTGGTGATATTTCGAAGGCCGACGTTATTTCTGGCAGACACCTAACAATTTGATCACACAGTATATATATGATGTACAGCCCAGTTGTTCCCTAAATATTCAGATATTATTTATATCAGAAGACGAAAGTACCTACAACAAATATTCAGAAAACATTTGAATCAACCGTCTAATTTTCGTTTCCACGATGAAGTTTGATACGGACTTCAAAAAATGCTACTTTTTTATAATATACAGTACTTTACGGTACAATATTTTACCGAGTTACGTTTGCTCTTAAGTGAAAGCTCAACAATTTAAAGAGATGAAAATAAATTTGCAGAAGCATATTTTTAAGATGCACAATCATTGGTATCGATAATAATACAGTAAATTAATCTATTGAACTCGACAATTATGGTTTTCGAAAAAATCTACGATGACGTAACGGCATCTCATTTATTTTTAGGCATTTTTCCTTTCTTTCGTGCTTTTATTCCAAATCAAACCATTTAATTGTAATTCATAGTGATTAAAACGAACAGTTTTAAACCCCTCAAGTTCGAATTGAAATAAATCCATCAGCAATCAATATACACGTGCTTATACTGTCAAATTCGTCAAGTTTGTCAATTTCTAGCGATTGCTAATTTTTTTATGAACAGTATGCGAGTTCTTGGCACACAAGTTATGAGAATTCATGATTTTCGAAAATGATAATGGCGTATTATATTTAGCATTCAGTTCTATAGTCCCTATCTGTCTGAATAATCTGGTCACTGATGCGTTTTTCAGCAAATATTAATTGATGATAATGTAGTCAATATACCGTACATTAGGTTGTTATTGATGATTTCAAATTTACCAAGGACAATAATCGTCTTGTATATACCCACTCGAACAACCAGAAAAAGAAATTGTTCGCCTGCTACTTATAATCTCGGGTTTACATGAACATCTGCGCACAGAAAAAATCTTATCTCCCGTAGAAGAAAACAAACAAATGTCAAATCATGTCATACTAAAACGGCCCACGCAGATAAGGAAAACCCCTGGAGATCATTCAGTATACACGTACTTCTCAGAATACCTTCTCTGGAGGATTTTTTTCACTGTGGGAAAGAAGTTGAGAGCTTGATTATTTGCGTAAATTGCTCAAAATCGTTTTTACCTTCAAGGTTTTCCTCGTGGCACAAATAATTTCGATTTTTGAAAAGAGACGTTTTTCAAATTTTTAGGTACAGTATAAAAAATTTGAAACGTTATTTTCCGAATGTGTTCAATTTGATTATCATCCTGTTGACTTTCATTTGACTTGAAATTCGTGCAAAAATTATCTTGTTTGCCGAGTTTGTTGATTTAATAGTCAATTTATTTCGGTTGCATCGCAAAATAGGGCCTATATAGATTGCCACATTTGGTGCGAATTTGAGTATGAATCGTGGTGATGAATAATTCTTCGAGGAATTATCGAATAATAGTTGAGGATTTGCAGGAAGTCCCAGCAGCAGTCAAACACGGGAAAGGAGAAAGAGTGAGTAAATTAAATATTTGCTGTGAATGAAATGCCCAAATAATAAGGCTGGAAAAAGTCCGAAAATGAAAAAAATTCTATATGTATATAAAAAAGATACTTCAGGTTTGAATAATGAATAAACACTGGAGTCGAATGAAAAATTTATTAGACATCAATGAAGGATTGAATAGCAAAAGAAAAAAAGGCATCTGCCTCCAATGACAGCAGTTTATCATCTTTTACAAACCAACTCTTGTATTTCTTGTGCCTCTGTCAAAATTATTATTTTTTTATTCTTTTTCGAGAGATGGGGTTGTTGTCTGGAACGGTCAAGAAGAACAAATGGCTGCTGATTGGAATCACTTTTGCGATAGTTATATGTCTTCTGGTGATAATTCTTCCGATTCTCTACACGGATTGCGATGCTTTGAAAAATTGCAAACGAAAAACCACTGCTGTCATCGTCAGGGAAATTTTGAGGGAAGTGCCTTTAATTGATGGGTGAGTGTAATCTTTTGTTTGAAACTGTGTGTATTAGTTTCAAGTTTGTATTTTTAGGTTCTCACCTAGTTATTAATTAATCAATGATCTCTATTATTGCAGTTGTTTATACAGTAGTTTTAAAGATTGACCAGCGTTTTTTTTCAAATTTGTCATCAGTGTCAGGATTTCTCGTTTTTTTTATTCCGTACAGACTTGGACTAATTTCTCCAAGGTTCTCAATTGCAGTAGTTTGAATATAATTGTTTTTCTCACGTGTTCATCCAATATCGTTGTACTATACAAGAAACTTCCTTTTTACATAAGTCAGTATTCATGTGAAATATAAATTTATCCTGATCCCATCAAAAAATTTCAATGTTCATTATTAATCGCGATGAGCGCATTTGAATTCAAAATGAGTCCCCAAAAATGTTGCAATTATTGATTGACCATTTTTAATCCCGTTTCATCAGTCACAACGACTTCCCCATGATTTTGCGGGATGTGCTGAAGAATCAGCTGGAAAAGCAGAGGCTGGATGAAAGCTTGCTTGGGAAAAAAGAATGGGATGCTACTTCTAGTAATCATGTGGATATTCCAAGGCTGAGAGAAGGTGGACTTGGTGGACAGGTATTTTCATTCAATACGATTTTTTATAAGCTATTCACAATATCATTGAAATGTGCCTTCAGTTTTTTTTAAAGAATTTCTGAAAATCTCAGCATTAACTGTTATCTGAAGGAGAGATGCAAAACTTTGTTTACGATTTCCTTGGGCTTCTCTCTGCGCTTACAAAGATCATCATAGTTTAAGACATTTGAAAAGCTATCTTTTCTATAGTTGTCTCTTTGTATTTTTCAAATAATATATTGTATTTCAATTGGAGCAGGATTGAGTTATACTTGATCTCCTCACAATGACCTCAATTTGTGCAACAGTCTAGTCCCAGCAAATAGTATGTTATGGGTAGTGCTGCGCGTAACAGTTATGCATTCAAAACGCATTTGTTATGCATAACTGTTACGCCAGCAGCTTCTTCTGCTATGCCTTTTTTTCCTTTTTTAACATGTTTTTATTAACTCTCTTTCTTGTCTGTTTGTTTGTCCAGATCAAATTTTGCAACTCAAATGCGCTCATCGCGATTAATAATGAACATTGAAAATTGAAAACGTGGTTTTTTAGATTAATTTTTTAATCTACTAAATTTTTTAAGTGTTGCTGTTCTGAAAATTTTTTCTGCTACGTGTTTGGAACGCATTTTTATGCATCCTATTGTTGCACCTATACTTGAAACATTTTGGAAGTGAACATTATGGGAAAAGTCTGTTGATGCAAATTCAGTTGGGAAAATAGGGGGGATGTATAAGGGACTCATGTCCTCTATGGTGGCATGCACTTCTATACAGATTGAAGTCTGTTATGCTGATTTGTCTGTTATGCAAGAGGAAGAACTGCTTCCAGATGAGGCAGTCTGTTCTGAAAAAATCTGTTGTGAGGGAGGTCTGTTGTGTGGGGTTATACAATACTATCTTGAAAGCACTTCATAATATATTTCAATATTTACCGTATTTACTTGAGTACCACATGCCCTCAAGTAAGATGTGCACAGGGGTTTTTCAGTTGGAAATTTTGCTAAAATCTTATCCCTGAGTAAGATGCACACCCCAAATATTAGTGAATCTGAAACTACCAAATTTCAAAATAAGAACAAAAAAATTGACTCTAGGCATGAAATGAACAAAAATCTGATCAATTTTCAACTTTTTCAGTAAAAAAAAGTGTTTTGTTACATTTGTTTCAAATTTCTCCATTATCATCAGGTATAATGCACACATAACTTCCTAAAACTTCTTGAAAAATTTGTACCCGCTTATGACATGCACCCCTTTTTTTCTTCTGAAATTTGAGAAAAAAGGTGTGTGTGGTACTCAAGTAAATACTGTATTGTCTAATGAACATTTAAAATAGTGCAAAGAAAATGTTGGAAAGGAATATTATACCAATTATTCCTGTAGCTGTTTCATCACATTTTTTGCTTGTTCGCATCGAAAATTAATTTAGCAGTTTTTTTTAGTTCACAGCATGTAGGTGAGCATCGAAATACTGTAGATTCAAAAGTCTCAATCAACAGTTTTGGTCAATTTACTCATCCTGCGAACAACAATTCAACAATTCGTTGCACCAGGCTTTGGAGCAGATTGACGTCACCAAGCGGATGATTGACATGTATTCAGATGATTTCCAACTCGCCACCAGTTCCGAAGGTTCCGAGAGGGTTTTTCAAAATTTCACCCGAGCTTTTTTTTAAAAGAATTTTGAATTTTATAAGTTGTATTGGTTTCTTTCGCAGACATTTGGAGAGCGTTTCGCGGCGGCAAAATAGCGAGTTTGATGGGCGTCGAAGGCGGCCATGTGGTGGAAGAAAGCTTGGCGGTTCTGAGGATTTTGTACGAGGTCGGGGTTCGCTACTTGACCCTAACCCACAATTGCGACACACCTTGGTGAAATGAGATTTCGAAAAAGAATTTTAAAACTTGACTTAAACGCGTAATTATTTTTTCTTTTATCCTATAGGGCACGGTATCATGAGAGCTCAGAGGAAGGAGGCTTGACCGATTTTGGAAAAGTATTTTGAACATTTGAAACGCATTTTTCAATTTAAAATTTAGATTTTACTTTTGAAAGTTAACAACCACAGCTCAATTATGTACAGTTGAACATCTGTAAGTCGAATTTCTACAAACCAGGAAAACAATTAAAGTTAGGAAGTTTTTGACTTAGGGTGGCTTTAATTTTTGGAGGTTTCCAGTTAAGGAAACAAACACTTTTGCTGTGAGGAGGATTGAAAAAACTGTGAGAAATCCTAGATTGTGATATTCTGGGCCAAATCTTGCTCCTGAATGAGTTTAAACTTTGCTGAACTTGGAGGCAGGGGTTCATTTGCTCTATTAGTCTTTTACTTCCTTTCAAGATGCATCAAATCATTTGTTTAAATAATTTTCTCTCATACTTTTAAGAAGTAATGATTGCAATTGACAGGGACATTAAGTAATCAAATTTTTCAAATGTAACCTGGAGTAAAAAAAAAGTTCCCATGCAGCCAGTCCCAAGCTGATGAGGGTGAATTGCTTTCTTTTTTGGTTTCTTGTCAATCACCCTTCTTCAAACAATGGAAAATCATAAGTAAAATATGAATCTTGATCAACACATGTCATAAGTTAAATCAGCACACCATTGAACTTGAACAGGTTTTTCTTTGTTTTCACACTTTTGAGTTAGCATGGATTGAAGAATCTGATGCAAATGCAATACAGTACAGTCAAACCTCAATAACTCAAACCTCCCTAAGTCAATTTTTTTAGTCCCTGTCTGAATTCCCTTAGGAACAATGCATTATAAACCTCCCTAACTTAAAGGCATCTCCTCTCAAAACTCCCTATAACTCAAATTTTCTGAAGCCTTTTTCTTATTTTTTTTGGCACAAAAAAGATAAAAGCAATAAAAGAAGTAAAGATGTGTTTTGAAAAGAATTGAAAGAATAATCGGTTAAATGAACCATTACCTCCATATTCAGCATGCTGTAAACTCATTCAAGTACCAATTTAATGTCCAGAATATCACCATTTCAAATTTTTGCACAATTCTTCTACATTTTCCACAACCAAAATGCCTGTTTACCTAACTCTGAATCTCCCTAAATCAAAACCTTTCTAAGTCAATTTTTGCTGTTTCCTTGAAATCTGACATCAAATTTCAAGGAGCTAGCAAAATTTTAAAAGTCCCTCTTAATATATTGAGTAGTACTTATTGGAGAGAGTTTTAATTTTGCGTTTAAACCTGGCAACTGTATTTTCAAATTGCAGAAGGTAATCAAGGAAATGAACAGATTGGGAATGTTGGTGGACCTCAGTCACGTTAGCCATCAGACAATGAGGGATGTCCTGGATGTCTCAATTTCTCCTGTTATCTTTTCACATTCCTCTGCTTTCACAATATGCAATTCAACTCGGAATGTTCCTGATGATGTTTTGAATGAATTGGTACGGTTTGAAATATCTCTCTCTCCAAAAATGATTGAAACTCAAAAATATTGAAAAATTCATTCATTTCTGATTTCCAGGTGCTAAATGGTGGAATTGTGATGGTTAATTTCTACCCAAGGTTCATTGATTGTTCATTGCCACCTGACTTGCCTATTAATCAGAATTATTCATCACTGGAGCAGGTTTTAGGTGAGCTCAGTTTAGTTTGAAACTGTTCAAATGCATCCTTGTGTGACCAATGTGAGAGGTCCTCAGACCCCAACACAAAGATTAGGTTTAGTGAAATAAAGTAGTAAGAGCACAATTGGCCGTTTGCGGCCTGAGGGTTCTGAAATCCTCAACTTCTGTTTATAGATAAATGTCCAAGTCCACAAATATTTCCAATCAAACAAGTCACACACAATATCAGCAGGTCTGTTCTCTCCAAAGTCCAGATCAGGATTGATTGATTCTTCTGTTTGTTTCTCACAGGTCCAGGTCCTCCCCAGTGGAAAGCTTCTCCAAGGTTTTCACTGGGGTGTGACTAATTTTCTGTTTGCAAAATTCCTAATAATTTCTTTCATTGAGTGATGATTCACTTGATGGAATATTTTTCCTGAATGTCAATATCTTCAGGTTTCATAATGTTTAGAATAAAAAAGAATTGTTTTTATTGTCTTGATTGTTCTTGATTTTCTTTTCCTTGTACAACGTGGCATTTCATATGCTGCATTGTACAGTACTTTTTGTGCCTTGCTTGTCCCTGCGCTGCAGGCAACATCTACTTGACCCGCTACAACTAATGTTTCCTCTTATTAGCTCACTTCAACCACATGAAACAGGTGATGGGATCTGCGAATCACATTGGGATTGGATCAGACTTCAGTGGAATTGAAATGTGAGACTATATACATATATTCTCATATGTACTCTTATCTTGTCATGTTCGACACAAATTAAATTTATTCAAACCTTTTGATCATCAGAGTCACAACTGGTCTGGAAGATGTGTCAAAATATCCCAACATTCTGGAAGCTCTTCTGGAAAATGGATGGACTAAAAGTGAAGTCAAGAAAGTAGCTGGGCTCAACATTCTCAGAGTTTTGAAAGATGCTGAATCAGTAAGTCTTCTAAAGAATCATAAAAAGATTCCAGAGCAAAAAGCAATCTTGAGGACCCCTCACTTTTTTTTCTTGCTCATTGGAAATAAATAGTCATGGATGGATTTATACACTAAAACAAGGGTATTTTATACCCCTGCCTAGGTAGAAAAAGAAGATGAATTAGGGATTATTATAGGTTATTCCTGTAAGAAAATTCTTCCAGGATTTATGGGCATTTTCATAACTCTGAGTTATCTTTTTTACATCTTTGTTTCAGGTGAAATATGATTCAATATTTGGAAAAGGAGCAAGTGAGGACCTCATACCTAGTGAAGATTATCAAGAGCCAAGAGTTTGTGGTTCAACTGACATGTCAGAGAAATTGTTGGAAGAAGTGATGTAATCATTTTCATTGTATATGTGATGACTCCAAAAGCGACTATTCTGAGATGTGAGCAATATTCATCAGTATTTCTGAGAACAGGTCACTGCATCATTTTTTTTGATAAACTTGCCTGATGTGAGTTCAAATTTTGAGTTGTTGTGATTTTTCAAATAAAAATTTGGCTTCATTGTAAAAAAGTTGAAAGGAAATTTGATATTTTATTAATTTGATTATGTTTTACAAACAATTAGAGAGCAATTACGCCCATACTAACTGCATGCATAAATTGCGGTCAATATACAGGCTTCCTGAATTGTTGAGCCAAATTTTGCTCACAAACATGCTTATGTTTGAGTAAACCCCAGTATATATCAATAAAAAACCTGTTGTTGTCCTTTCTATTACAGGACTGAGTCGAGAATAAAAGAACTAAGTTCTTATTCTGGATCAAATATCTTTATACAATCTTCTCATCCACATACAAACATTCAATACAACAATACAAATACACAAACACACAAGTCCAGCTTGTACTTTACTTTGAAATAGGTTTGAGCTTTAACAGAGCTTTGGCTATGGAGTTTACGGTATGAAGCTTGGATGAGATCTCTCTTGTGATTTCACCAAGCAGGGGTATTTAAGCCTAGCCAGCCTAGATGAGGGAACAAAGGAAATAATCGACGCGACCTTAATAGCGGAAATCCCAATCCGTGAAAGGAAATAATGTGGAAATCACTCTGAGTGAAATATGAGTGTGCTGGTTATACTTCAGTAATAATGACCATGCGCCACATGAACGAGGGATCCGAATATCACTGGATTTCACACAGAGTTGAGCTCACCAGGGTTCCAGGATTGATTGTACCATAATTACCGTAGGGAGGCTATTGTAACTAATCATGAGAAGTTGTCAAATCTTCTCACAAAGGAAAAGGAAGCAATTATCTATGCTTCCATGATTTCCGTTTCTAGGCTTTCTAAATGGTTTCTTCTGAAACTTCCAAAAAGGGTATTCTGTAAGTTAATGTATTTCTAAGATAACAAACTCACCCCGCACAATAAAAAAAAAGGTTCCATCCTTTTGTGAAAGTCAGCAGAAAAAGAACAACAAGTGAACCAAGTGCGAGACTCAGTGCGACAGTGCCCTATTTTCCGTTGCTGTTTCTTTCAGGAGCCATAAAGGCTTTATGGAAATGGCAATTGTTATTGCTATCCATCAGGAGGAATCAGGCATGGATCCGACAGATGTTCGGATCAAGAAGAATGGAAATATCTTCTTCAGTTGGCATCGAGTGCCATTCGTTAACGGATGATCCGTTGGGCCTGAAATTTTGGCGGTTAACTTTGGTGAGTATTGTTAGCTTATATTAATTTTTTCAAATTTTTCGGTCGTTAAATTAACGATTTTCGTCTCGAACGACGCAGCGTCGTAACAACTTCCTGTCGAACGAAATCGTTGGAAGTTGATGGGTCTCCTGGAGTTGGTGGCCTCAAACATTGTTTCGCGAATCGTTCGACTGACCAGTGACTTCGTGCTATTGTGGATCTTCAAGTTTTTCAAAGGAAAACTTCAACAAGTGAAAAGTGAGTCCAAAAAAAAAATTTTTTCCTTTCAGAAATAATAGTATTTTTGAAAATTTTCACAGATGGCGTTTCTGAGGATCCTGGTGTTGCTGGTCATCGGTGCTGCGGCTGCTGGAGCGGACTGTGGTCCCGAGGACGGGGCGTTCGTGTGCCGAGACGTCTGCGGCGAGGAGGTGAGGGGCGCCGGTGGCTACGGGCGCCGCGTGACGTTTGTAGGAGCGACGCTGTTCCTGGACTGCGTCAGGCAGGCGGACTTGAAGGTGAGTTTCAGAAAAGTGAAACAAAAACTAGTATGACAGCCATCTTTGTTTGTAGGAAGTGAAGCTGCTGTCGCCGACGGTCTGCGTCGGACGTCGGTCCGAGATGGATCGAGTGGTGACGCCGTGGAGGTGGTGCGAGGAGGTCGTGCCACCCGAGCCGGAGATCTCGACGGCGGCGGTTCCGCCGGTGGTGGGTGAGTTTGTTTTCAGCTTTTCCACACAAACATGAATCATTACAACACAACTCACACACATAACATCATGACACATACCCAACACCTGACCAACACCAAAACAAAAAAAATGTTCCTTCACCTTTTTCTAATAAAAATTTTGTATATACAGATGAGCCTCGCCTGGTGGCGCCGACGGCCAACTTGGCGGTCGTCCACGTGCCGGCGAGCAAAACGCCGTTCGTGGCTCGGGCGCCGCCCTCGACGCAGCAAAGCGTCGTGGTGGCCCAGGAGGTGCCCCATGTCATCAGGGCGCCATCGTCGACGCCTGAAGTGACGGTCAACATCAAGCATGGTGTTGCGCACGTCGAGGCAGACGTGGACCCTTGGACTGCAATGGTCCTAGTCTTCATGGGCCTTGGGGGAGCTGGAGCCACGTCTCTGGCTGTCTTTTTGGTTTGGCTCGTCAAGTTCATCAGGAACAAGGTTAGCCAATTTTTTTCTTTTGCTTTTTTAATAAAATGATTAACAATGCTTTTTGCTTTTGTGCTTGCTTTGCTTTTTGTGCATGCATTTAAAAAACAGAGAAAGAAAAGAATTTTGAAGCTAGATAAAGCTAAAGTTAAGGAATGCATAGTAGGATCTATGCCCAATATATTTTTTAATGGGCTAGACTCTGATGATGAAGAATTTGAGGTTTTTTCTCAAAACTATGCAGATATCAGGGCTAGATCCCCAAGAGTTTCAACCTTCAGACAAGGTAAAACAAATAGCATGTAATTACAAAAAGCGCATGCAATAATTTTTGATGCTTTTGCTTGGGGCTTTTTTCTTTTGTTCTTTCTGTACAGTCATCGTACATGAGGGAGCTGGTGCGGATGCTGACGCCGGAGGATCAGCCAGATCCAGAAGCCCAACCAGTGGTAGATCTGCTGGGGCTGGAAGAGACGGATAAACCCGTCGAGAACGTCAAGAAAGGGGAAATGGTCCTTGAGGACACTAATCCGTTTAAAGAGATGTTTAACGCGTAATATGTAGAAATCGCGTCAAAGAAAGAAAGTGCCATTTTTCATACCCGCGTTTTTTATATGGGTAAAAAGGCAATAAGAGAAATTTGTAAAAGAATTTCTGGCCTCTGATTCTCTTTTTTGTTTGTCTTTTCCAGCCGAATTTCTTTTCAGAAAGTGATCAGCGAATGGACAAGATTCCTGTGGAGGAGTCCATCTCTAATCTAGGATAAATTGCAGGCTTAGGAGTAGGAGATTGAATAAA